CTCCTTTCACAGTCCACAGCCAGGTATACCCTCCAAGCTGGAGCCAGGGAAGACTAGGCCCCAGGCAGACTCCCTGGCCACTCCCCAGCCCTGCCCCTGAAGCTCCAGCAAGCCAGGATCAGGACTCACACAGACCCAGGCACAGCCAACACAGGGCACAGTTTGGGTGGCAGGGAGTGCCTAGCAGGAACCGTGCAAATTCATCCCCATGCCTACAGTGCTATTAACTGAGTGGCTTATCTTCCCTCAGACAGTTTATCTTTGCACAGTAACCAAGGACTTGCCCAGTGTAGCCAGAAACAGTGGCTCCCAGCCCCCACCATGTGCTAAGGCAGGCTTGAGGGTTCTGGCCTGGAGCTCACAGTGTACGGGGTCTTAGAGTCTTAGCGTCTAAGAAACTCCAAGCCTGGGATCCCTGGGTGGCGCAGCGGTTTGGCGCCTGCCTTTGGCTCAGGGCGCGATCCTGGAGACCCAGGATCGAATCCCATATCGGGCTCCCGGTGCATGGAGCCTGCTTCTCCCTCTGCCTATGTCTCTGCCTCTCTCTCTCTCTCTCTCTCTCTGTGACTATCATAAATAAATAAATTAAAAAAAAAAAGGAAACTCCAAGCCTTGACTCACACTTCTTACCTAACTGTTGCACACAGCAAGTCCAAGAAGTGGTTGTTCTGCAGGCTCCCTGGCAAGAGAGATAGACACTCCCCACCACCAAGCAGGGCTCTCCCAAGGACCAGGATGGAAGAGCCTGTCTTAGGACACCTGCTGGTGGCCATCAAGGCCCACCCAGAACTGAGACAAACCCCCAGCCTCATATCCGGAAGGCCACTGCCCCAGGATCAGCAGGGGCTGACCATTCATGAGGCTGACCAAGGGCCACATCAGATCCTCCTAATGGCAGGAGAGATGTTAGATGTTAGGTTCCTCAGAGACCCAGAAACCAGCTCTTCTGTTCCCAGGATCTCAAATCATTAAGGTGGGATGTAGGGAACAGAGTCTGAGGCTATAGGTGATGCACCGGGAGACCCACAGTTCTCTTCTGCTATTGCTGGGGCCCCAGCCACTCCTGCCACCAGCTCACAGAGGGACCCACTGGGGGCAGTACAGAGAGGGCTTCAGGGTGCCCCAGGGAGTCCAGTAAGTGACCCAGATACCTGTAACTAAGCCCAAAAGATGGGTTGGCCTCAAGAGACCAGAGCATTGGATCATGGAGTCAGACCCAGGAGCTAAGTGGTATTTAATATCATGGCAGTTTTGTTTTGTCTTCTTTTCCTTTAATAATGAGCAGATTGTCATTTTCAGCTTTCAGTGGATTTCTTACCTCTTAGATAAGTAGCCCCTCAAATAAACCTATCATGAATCTGTGATATTCCCAAAGTAGAGAGAAATAATCAAACTAAAGCTTCAGGACCCCGTTGTGATGCCCTGACCTGATGGCCCCAGAAGGAGTGGATGAGGAAGAGAAGACCCTAGGTGGTAGGCTGACCAATCCTGAAAGGCCCTCAGAGAACAGCGAGGGGGCACCATCAGAGTTGTGTCCAAGCCCATAGACTTGGTGGTGGACATGGGGCCATGTCAAGATGACCTCAGGGAGGGTGAGGCGTCAAAGACGTGTCTCTAGGCTATGTGACCATTTGGGTGGTGAGGTCATTTGCTAAGATATGGATGGAATCCTGGGGAGACGTCTACCAGGCTTAGAAGCAAAGATCATGAGTTTGACTTTGTACAAAGTGAGTTTGAAGGCCTTTGAAAAATTTAGATGACGGTGTCTAACAGGCATTGGATGGTCGAGGCTGCAGCTCTAAGTCCTCTACAACCCTCTCTGCCTCAATTTCCGTGTCTGTATAGTGAGTGTGCTATCTACACTGAGGTGTAGATAAAAATAGGGAGTTGTCTTAACGTAGGAAGTAACTGAAGCTATGAGCGCAGATGAGATGCCCAGGGAGAGAGTACAGAGGAGGGAGAGAGGGAAAGGAAGAAGGAACACAGATGAACAGGGGAACCGGGAAAGGAGCCTACAGAGAGAGATGGCGAGAACAAAAACAGGACACGCACGGTGCCCGCGCCACAAACTGTGGAGAACAGCATCCACATATGAGAGGCACTTAGTCATCAAAATCATAGAGACAGGGATCCCTGGGTGGCGCAGCGGTTTGGCGCCTGCTTTGGCCCAGGGCGCGATCCTGGAGACCCGGGATCGAATCCCATGTCGGGCTCCCGGTGCATGGAGCCTGCTTCTCCCTCTGCCTGTGCCTCTGCCTCTCTCTCTCTCTGTGACTATCATAAAATTAAAATAAAATTTAAAAAAAAAAATCATAGAGACAGACAGTAGAATGGGGACTGCCACCGGTTGGGGACGAGAGAGAATTAGTGTTCAATGTGGACAGTTTCAGTTTTGTAAGATGGAAAGAGCTATTAGGGTGGACGATGGGGACGGCTGCACAGCGTGAATGGATTCAGGCACTGAACTGTACATACACTTATAGTAAAGATGGTAAACTTTGCATTATGTGCATTTTAACACATTCTTTAAAAGCATTGAAAGAAGAAACCCCTTCCAGAGCTTCCCAGGACTATAAGCATAAAGACCTGCGTGATCTGGACTCCTACCCTCCCAGGGCCGGTACGCCTGGTCCCGGGTCCCCACTGCAGGCACAATAGCCCATCTGTGTTCCTCGAACATACCCTGGTCCTTCCTACCTGAGGTCCCCAGTGCTGGGTGTCCCCTCTGCCTAGATGCTGTGCTGTGGGTCTTAGCATGGAGTCACCAGCTTGGCTTGGAGCAACTGCCCCCGGACTCCCCCACCTAAGTGGGTCTCATCTATTCTCTACCCTGCGTCCTGCTTCCTTCTCTCCTAGCACCAAGCGCCGCTGCAATTATGTCATTGGCTTCACTGCCTGCTTGCCTGTCCCAGCCACCAGCGCAAAGTTCCACAGTGTCAGGGAACTGGGCCTGCCTCAGCCATCACTGCCTCCCTGCTGTGGGTTGGTGGTTCCATGGAAGCTACTGTTAGGGATAGTAACTGTTCAGGGAAGGGGCAGAAAGGGCGGAGGGAAAGCTGGCCTGCAATGCACCTGCAGTGAGGGCCTAGCAAAGTCTCAGCCAGCTGGGCAGGAAGCTGTGGAGTCAGGGTCACCCACGGGAGTCATTCTGCACAGTGCAGAAGTGCCCTCCTTGCTTGGTCACCAGAGGGGAGCAGCCTCAAGAAGGGTGTGACCTTGAACGGGGCAGCTTTCTGGGCCTGGGGCAGACCCCAAAGTGACAGGCATCTAGCGGCTCTCTGCTGACCACACTCCTCATGGTCAGGTGACAAGCTCCAGGCAGTGCTTCTCTATATCTACCTCAATCCCCACCCCTTAGGATAATGCTTGGCACATAGCAGGTGCTCAGAATGAATGAATGGACATTTGATTGAATCTTGAAGTACAGACAAGATTTGGAGAAGTAGACAAGACAGGAGATGTGTATTCCAGGCATGAGGCATCCTTTGTGCAAAAGTAGAAAGACATGAAGAAAAACATGGGATGGGGCTCCTGGGTGGCCCAGTCCATGAAGTGTCTGCCTTCAGCTCAGGTCATGATCCCAGGGCCCTGGGATAGAGCCCCACATCAGGTTCCCTGTTCAGCGGGGAGTCTGCTTCTCCCTCTCCCTCTGCCCATCCCCCAGCTCCTGCATGTTCACTTGCTCTCTCTTTCTTGCTCTCTCTGTCAAATAAATAAATAAAATCTTTAAAAAAAAAAAAAAAAAAGGAAAACATGGCATGTTCCTGAATCCACAAATACTAAGACAGAGTCAAATCACTATGTGGGGAAGTGGGGAAAGAGGCTCAAATGATAAGCAAAGACCAGTGGACAAGGACCTTGTAGATCACACTTGAATTTTACGCTGTTGGCAAAGAGGACGATTTCAAAGGGTTTTAAGAAGGAGAATTGACATGATCAGCAGGTTTTAGAAAGATCATTCAGCTGGCCTTCCTGCAGATGGCCAAGGAGGGCAAGCTAGGGACGGGAAGCTGTTAGGAGTTGGGTCTGGCCAGCCCAGGCCTGTGTCCTAAGTCACAGGCACTGGAGAAAGAAGGGAGCAGCTGTAGGTGTGGCCTCTGGAGGGCAAAAGGGGCTGCAACCAAAGTCTGGAACCGTTCACAGGTAAGCACAGTCAGTAAAAAGCAAACATTTGAAGAACAAGGATGATCATGGAGGAAATCAGGAAAGAACAGGGCCGTGGGAGTGCAGGAGAGAGAACAGTTCAAGAAACAAAAGGTCAAAAAGGTCAAAGCCATGAAGAGGGCAGGTGAGATAAGGCCTAAAGTGCCCATGGATTTGGCCATCAGGAGGATAAGACATGAGAGCAGCTTCAGGCGGACACAGACTCAGCCTGAGGCAACACATTCTCCAGTCTGATCTGAGGTTTGGGTTTCTCGGGGGCTTTCCAGAGCAAGGCTTCATCTGTCTGCGTGTTTCTGTCCAGGGTCGCCCTGAAGCCTGACCACAGAGATGGATGCTCTGGTCCACATGACCCTCCAGCTGCAGTGGGAGGATCCCAGTGGAGCATCAGGAGTCCCAAGCCATGTGTAAGGGGCCTCAGGCCTCAGTTTCTCCTGGGGTGATAGGTCCGGGTGGACTCTGCAATTGCCTGGACTGCTCAGGGCTCAGGTTCAGTGAGTGTGGCACAGGTAGCCGGGCCTCCACACCCTCTGACCTAGGTCCTCTTGTGGCTTCCACTTAGCACTCTGGGTTTCCTGCTGTCCAAGTGCCTCATTTGTGTGAGGTCAGTTCCAATGAGGAAAGCCACCGGGTTGAGAAAAGAGAATATTTACCTTTCCCACCAAGCTGATACCCAAGTAAATAGTGTGGTCCCATCCATGGAGCCCAGGCCCCACCCCTTTCCCTCCCTCCAGGTACAGCCTGGAGCATTTAAGAAGGCACCCCAATGAGCATGTCTCACACAAGACCACCGGGTCCAGAGACAGGCCAGGGCCTCCTTCGCCAGCCTCCTGCCCACCATGAAGCTCGCTGTCATCCTTGCCCTGGTCACCCTGGCTCTCTACTGCAGCCCTGGTGAGTTCCCAGAGACCCCTCCCCCAGGCCAGGCTCAGGAACCCTTCCTGCACCCACCCTGGTTCTGCTTAGGACAGGGGGCAGCTGTTTAGCTGGAATGCTGACTTCCAGCCAAAAAGCCGGGTCTGCGAACAGGCCTATCTCGGGTACTTGGGGAGCACACTGAGCTGGGGAGGAAACCTGGAAGGGATCCCATCTTCCATAGCCAACAACTCAAGAATGACAGGGTCAAAACAGACTAGAGGCTGGAATGGAGGAGATCCCGTATGGAGATTCCCGTAGGAATAATAATGAGCATCTCAGAGCCCAGTCTTGGAGAGATCCCAAGATGCCAAGAGACCTTGGTACAGTGCTGCCTTCACATTTGGGGTGTTCACACCACTCTGGCAGCCAAAGGGGCTAGAAGGAGCTACAGAGCCTCATGTCTCCAAAAGAAATCCAAGCTAAGGCAAGATCTTCCATTCTGGGCTTAGAGGAATATTCTAGAAAGGGATCTTCCCTTCGGGAAACTGCCAAACCAGAGTAGAGTTTTCTAAACATTTTCGTCCTCTGCCAAAAAGATTAGGAGTCTCTGAATAGTTGCAGCTGTCATTACGAGGGAAGGAATGAGGGAGAGGGAGGGAGGGAGAGAGAGGGAGAGAAGGAGGAAGAGAGAAAGGGAGAGAGAGAGAGAGAGAGAAGGAGGAAAAGAGGGGGGGAGAGAGAGAGCAAGGGGGATCCCACCTCTCTCAACCCCCGTGATCTTTTGGGAATTGGTTTTTACTCTGTATCAGCCTCTTCTACTGCTTTTAATAAACAAACACAAACAAAAAGGTTTTTGGGGTTTTGTTTTTTGTTTTTTTAGCCAACTTCAATTAATTCACTTTGAAAGTTTCATGACATCCATGGCGGTAGGTCTGATGACCCTGGGGGTTGGTGGCAGGAGAGTTGGAAAACCAAAACCAAGATGCACTGCAGACAACTATTGTACAGAGATATTTGTCTTTAAGGGGAAATAACATCATTGGACTGACATGTACAGTTGACCCCTGAACCGCATAGGGCTTCAGCGTGCTGACTGCCCCCCACACATTCAAAAATCTGCCTATAACTTTTGACTTTTAACTACTCCTAGCCTGCTCTTGATCAGAAACCTTACCAATAATATAAATCGCTGATTAACACATATTTTGTATGTTATGTGTATTATATACTGTGTTCTGACAATAATACCCAGCTTTTTCTTAGTTTTTTTCATTTTTTCTAGGCTATCCAGTTCATTCGTCTTTCCAAATTGTCGCAAATCTCAAAAAAGATTTCCTTTTTTTTTTTTAAATATTCTTTGGGGTATTTAGTTTTTTTTTTCAGATTTATTTATTTATGATAGACATAAAGAGAGAAAGAGAGGCAGAGACACAGGAGGAGAGAGAAGCAGGCTCCATGCCGGGAGCCCGACGTGGGACTTGATCCAGGGACTCCAGGATCGCACCCTGGGCCAAAGGCAGGTGCTAAACCGCTGAGTCACCCAGGGATCCCCTCAAAAAAGATTTCCAACACACCTATTGAAAAAAATTCACATGTAAGGGGCCCCAGGCAGTTCAATCCCATGTTGTTCAAAGGCCAATTGTACATTAATTAGATCTCAGTGCTGTGCATAGAGCAGGCGGCTCAGCAAGGTGGGGCTGAAATATGTTAGGGGGTGGATCTGGGATGCGTGTGTATACTTGTCTGTGCACACAGGTAATAATAACAATAATAATATCTCCCATTTATTCAGCACCGACCATGTGCCAATCACTATTCTGAACCCCTTTTCATTCTTAACAATAACCCTGTGAAATTGGGATATTATCCCCATTTTACAGATGAGAAAGTGGAGCCACATAAAGATAAAGTACTTTGCCAGGTGACATAGTAAGTTGCAAAGCAGGACTCTAAGTTCTGGAGGACATCTGACTTGGAGTGGCCACTTTGGGGTCCCTGGAGTCCAAGGCAGGGAAGCGGAAACTTTGCACACATGGCAAAGAATTCCAGAATGGGGACTGAGACTCAAGGCATAGGAACCACTGACTGCCCCACATGTTCCTGGGGCAGGGGCCTAAAGGGGGAGCACAATCCAGGGGGCACTCCAGGCAGAGGGAACATAGTAGGGCCAGGCATGGACACGGAGGCTTGTGGGCAGGTGAGTAAGTGCACCACAGGAACCCAGAGCTCATGGAGGAAGCCTCTTCTGGGCCAGATCAGGGGCTTGCCCTTGGCCCATGCAAGTACTTCTTTCTGTGTGGCCCGACTGCCCCATGCATCCCTGCACCAGCCACCTCCCCACCCCCATGGCAAGTGGCTCAGACCATCACTAACCATTGGTAAGAGGCATGTTACTGGCAGAACAACAACCAGAAACCCTCAGTAGCCTCTTCCCAAACCCCACATTACGTAAAAGATCAGATCAGCAACTTCTTTCATCAGTGCTCTGTCTAGAACTCTAACAGAAAGAACAAATTGGGGGGGGGGGCGGGTGGCGGGTGGCTCAGCGGTTTAGCACCACCTTTGGCCCAGGATGTGATCCTGGAGACCTGGGATCGAGTCCCACGTCAGGCTCTCTGCAGTGAGCCTGCTTCTCTCTCTGCCTGGCTCTGCCTCTCTCTCTCTCTCTCTCTGTGTGTGTGTGTGTGTGTGTGTGTGTGTGTGTGTGTGTCTCATGAATGAATAAATAAAACCTTTAAAAAAAAGAAAAAAGGAAAGAAAGAACAAATGCACCCCGCCCCACCCCCACCCAGGAAGTGCAAGCAGCGTAAGCCACGAAAGGCTGGCTGCAACCCCAGGAAGTCTCCCCACAGTGCCAAGGAGCACCAGCAGACCTACATTCAGCGCCATCTCAGCAACTAGAAAGGCGCTACCTCCTGCTGACAGGCCCACCTGCTTACATCTGGGGCAGGCCCAGCCAGGGCCCGGCCAGCTTGGAAAGGGGCCTGACACATGTACTCTCTCTTTTCCCTGCTTCAGCTTCTGCAGAGATCTGCAAGAACTTTCTAAATGTCATCAAAGCCCTCTTCCTGGACACGCCTTCCAGTTACCAGGCTACACTTGAATTTTTCAACCCAGACGCAGACATGAAAGATGCAATGATCCAGCTGAAGAGTCTGGTGGACACCCTCCCCTCAAACACCACCGAGAACATCCTAAAGTTCACGGTACACAGCTCCCTTCATTCATGCTGCTTAGCAGTGGGTCCCCACTCCCTACCCTCCACCCCACCCCACCCCACCCCACCCCACCCTGGTCCCTGGGCTATACAGCCTTGCCTCATTTCTATTGACCCCTTTCTAATCCAGAGAGGAGAGTCCTGGTGCACATATTCCTCCAGGAAGCAGATTCAGTCATCTTACTTTTTTTTTTAAGATGTTTTTATTTATTCATTTGTTCACGAGAAACACAGAGAATGGCAGAGACACAGGCAGAGGGAGAAGCAGGCTCCCTGCAGGGAGCCTGATGGGGGACTTGAACCCAGAACCCCGGGATCAGGACCTGAGCCAGAGGCAGATACTCAACCACTGAGCCACCCAGGTGCCCCAATACTCTTACCCTTTTTAAGAGGCTTCCAAGAAATAATCAAAACTCTTACAAGCTTAGCTCTTCCTAGAGCTACTGAACCTCTGAATTGACATTGAAGTTTCTGCATGTAGACATCTTGGCCTAACTTTGAGGTTTGCTCACCATTGTATTGGGATGTTTGTTTGTTTGTTTTAGGGGGCAGTCATAAAAAGCCCAGAGTGTGCTTAGGGTTTAGAAGCTGAAGATCTCCAACTGCTGAAGCTCCTGCTGCTCCCCAGATGCTTCTTCCACTCTGTCCCCAGCCTGGCTCCCCTCAATAAAGCATAAGCGTCTCACACTTGTGCCCCCCACTCCACCTCTTTTTTGTTTGCCTGCTAGAGTGAGAAGATCCGCTACTGCTAGGGTAAGGATCACAGGTGCAAAGAGAAGGGCAGTAGCCATTAAAACATATCTCTGAGGGGCCCAGGTGACTCACTTCTGCCCCCACCCCAACACCAGGCTAGCCACAAGAGGCGAGATGGTGTCCAGCACACACGCTCTTGCCTGGGCAGAGAGCCATCCAGGGCCGTGCTCAAACTTAACCCTACAGGAGAATAAAAAAGGGGGTCCATGTACAGTGGTGGCTGACCTCAGACAGACTCCTCAACCTCCAGCCATTTACTGATGAAATTAACTAAGCTGTAAATATTTGAGTTAATTATGCTCTCCAGACACACCTACAAGCAGAGATGGCGCTTTGCAGAGAGTTGTGTAGCCCAAAGATAAATGGAAACGTCCATTTCAAGCATGTGGACAGAGTATCTGGGACCTCTTTGGGGCTGGATGGGCCTGCATCAGAGCGCCTCACATCACACCCAGCACACAACCACTCATGGGAGGAATCGGGTTCTTGTAACACACTCAGGCAACAAAACCTGGAGGGGGTATAGGGTTCAGTTCCTTGATTAGGGATCCAGGGTGTTTGGAAGTGCCTTGGAGGATGGCAGACCCTGACTTCTCAGCACCAGCAGGGAGTCATGTAAAGTCCTCAGAGAAGGTGGGGTTTTGTTCACTTCATATATGCTACATGAAATTATTTATCAAACTATTTAAGACTTTATTTATTTATTCATGAGAGATACAGAGAGAGAAGCAGAAACACAGGCAGAGGGAGAGGTAGGCTCCCCGTGGGGAGCCCAATGTGGGACTCTATCCCAGGACCCCAGGACCGTAACCTGAGCCGAAGGCAGACACTCAACCACTGAGCCACTCAGGCGCCCTCCAACTATTTTTTAAATGGTGCGGAGAATAGGGGAAAAAACCTGCTTATGTATTTTCTAGATGCTTTATCTGTCATCTTGGTTAAGACATTATATTTCCAGGTTTGTTTGGTTTGGTTTGGTTTTAAGTAGTCTCCACAATCTGTGTGGAGCCCAACAAGGGGCTTGAATTCATGACCCTGAGATCAAGACCTGAGCTCAGATCAAGAATCAGATACTAACCAGCTGAGCGACCCAGGCGCCCCTGTATTTCCAGGTTTAAGTTGCAAAGCCTACAAGTCAGACTGTCCATTCACATCAGTCCTACTTTCAAGACATATCCACCCAGAAGAGGATCTAGGGGGTGGGGAGTGGTGTCACAATCACAGGGCTGGTCAGCACCGGGCTAGTGCTGCCCACCACCCATGAGGTGATGCTCTTGCACAATGCCCTGCGCCCCCGCGCCCTTCCCTGAGTCCCTGTTCAGTCAACTTTCCTGCAGAAATGGAATTGATCACCCCTTTCTTCTGTGGCAAAGGAGTCTTCGGGCATGGAACTAATCCCTAGGTATTCACTGGCACTTTGGATGTGTTCATAGTGGTGCTGGGCACTCTGAGGAAGCCAGGAGCAGATTTCATAAGCCAACAAGTATGCATAAAGCACTCGCTCCAGGCCAGAACTTCATGACACCCCAAGTATGGCAATGTGAATAAAGCAGGGGCTTCAGCTCTCAGGGAGCTGGCAGTCAAATGGAGAAGATCACCAGCTCTGGCAACATGCACAGGTAAATAAGTAAACAGGTAATTGAAACAGTGATAAAAACCACGGAAGGGACGTTTGGGTGGCTCAGCAGTTGAGCATCTGCCTTTGATTCAGGGCGTGGTCCCAGGGTCCTGGGATGGAGTCCTGCATTGGGCTCCCCAGGGAGCCTGCTTCTTCCTCTGCCCGTGTCTCTGCCTCTCTCTGTGTGTTTCTCATGAATAAACAAATAAAATCTTAAAAAAAAAAAAAAGGAGAAGAAATCCACAGAGTGATGTGAGCTGGGGTAGCTTAGACAGACCAACTGTACCTCTTCTTAGGATTTGAACAGAGACTTGAAGTGATACAGGAGCCAGCCACTGGAGGAGCAGGAGAGGGCATTCCAGGCAAAGGGTAAAGCCAGAAGGGCCATCAGGTAGATGCACGGAGGACCAAGTGTGAAGGATGCCTGGGACATCCCACTTCCTTCTTCAAACCTCGCTGAACCTAGCCCTGGGACCCCAGGAGAAAATTTAGAACCTTTCTAAAGAACTTTTCCTCTGCGTTTTGTTACCTGTCGCCAAAAGTCCCCAGACCTTCTGCCCAGATCATCTACCCCACCTCACAAACTCCACTTGTCCAGCAGAGCCCATCCACCCCTCCCACCCCAGGCAGTTTCTAATCTCGGTAAATTCTACATCTATCCTCCCAGCTCCTCCAGCCAGATGGACAGGCATCCCTGACCCCTCCCTGGGCAGTGCCCGTGCATCCAGACAAGCAAGTCTACCTCTAGAGCATCTGGGAACTCCCTCCATGTCCACGGGGTCATTCAGGGCCACACCATCCATTTCCCACTTCACAACCCAAGGGCCTCCCAGATACTCTGCACCCCTGCAGTCCAATCTCCTCCCAAATGCCAAAGTTATTTTAATCATGTGAAAACCCCCCTTCACTGCCACCCTTCCTCCACCAAGTAAAATCCTTCAAAGCTTTACTAGTGCTCTTGTACAAGGCAAAATGCAGAACCTGCCCATCACTGGCTCTCACCCCTGCCTTCCTTCTCATTGCTTATCATTCCCTCTGCTCCACCCACCACCCACTCCTCTCCCTCCCTCCCTTCCCACTTTCAAGTGGTTTGTTTGTTTGTTTTCTTTTAAGAGCCAAGCCCCTGGGACACTTGGGTGGTTCAGTGGTTGAGCGCCTGCCTTTCTTTGGCTCAGGTCGTGATCCTGGGGTCCTGGGATCCAGTCCCGCATCAGGCTCCCCACAGGGAACTTGCTTCTCCGTCTGCCTGTTTCTCTGCCTCTCTCTGTGTGTCTCTCATGAAGAAATAAATAAAATCTTAAAAAAAAAAAAAAAAAAAAAAGGAGCCAAGCCCCTTGCCACCTCAGGGCCTTTGCAGTGGCCACACAGTATCAACTGCTCAAAAGTACTGATGATTGGTTTAGAAAATCGTCCTAGAACAAAATGTGGGAAAAATGGAACTTGTCATAGAGATGTATCCCAAGTAGGTATAGGAGCCCCCAAAACGCCCCCTGTTCCGTGGCGATCGGCCCCGGCCCCGGCCCCGGGCCACACCACCCGCTGACACTGAATGAAAGTGGAGGGCGTTCAGAGGGGAGGCAGGCCCCGAAAGGGCGTCCGCAGAGCGCGGGGATGGAGGTTGCTGTTAAAAGCTCTGCAGGGAACGGTCCAGCCAGCCCGGCCGGCGGGCGGGACGCGCCCTCTCCGCCCTCGCGCCCGGGGCTGCGCGGCCACCAGGGGGCGATGTCGGCCAAGGCGTCGGGGAGCCGCCGCGCGGTCGGCGCTGGGGGCGCCCACCCCCGCACGCCGTGGCCGGGAGCTCCCCGCGGGACGGGGGTGACGTACAGCGTCTGCCTGGGGTTCGTTCGCTGTCTACGTGATCGCTTTAATTTTTGAGATTTTTTTTAAGCAGAATTCTGAGAAAACACAGGGACCGCACACAAATGCCCGGCCAGGGCTGCCAGTGACGTCAGCTCTTTTGGAACCAGAAGTGATTCCATCCCCAGAGGGCTGATTCCAGGGGAGAGCTCAGCAGGATCTACGACCTGTGGACCCGTGAGGAGGGGGTGGGGGTGGGGGTGGGGGTGGGGGCGCTGGTGGAGCCGACCTTCGACCTCATCCCGTTCCGTTTTCCAGGTCTGGAAGCAGAAAGCTGCGATCTAATAATCATCTTTATAGATTGCTTACTGGCGGGGGGGCGGGGGGGGGGAGGGGATTCTCGCAATTTCTTATTTTGTCTTCCCACAACCCAGATTCCAGAGCCCAGGCCTCAGCCCCTGCTCTACAGGGAATGAGATTCCAGATGCAGGAATCCACTGAGCCAATAAATGAGATGGATGAGCAACGTCTGCCCACCCCCCACACACCCCCAGACACACACACGTGCACGCACACGTCCTAAGGCCACGACACCACACTCCACCCTCCATCGTCCACCGCAAAGGAGGGACTTTGTGGTGGTAAAAATTCCAGAGCAGGCCATCAAGATTGGCAATTTTGAAAGAGATTCTTGGTAAAAGGTGGGACCATGGTGGGGGCCTCCCATCTCCCACCTCCTACACTTCCTGACTGCCAGGCCCGAGTTCTCCTGCATCCAGGTCATCATTAACTCACATACCTTTGCCTCCTGTCAGCCATCCACCAATGTGAGTATTGTTCAAACGGATAAGGATCCAGGGCCATAAAAGATTCAGAATTTTAATTACCTATTCACAGCCAAGGAAGTATTTACCTAGGGCAAATACAACACAGGTATCTTGAGATGAAAGGAAATACAACTATATTGCAGCGAATGTCCGCCTCAAGGGGGCTAGAGATGTAGGTGATCCACAGGAACATGAGCTGTCAGGGGCTTTTTTGTTGTTTTTTTATTTTTTGTTTTTTAGAGTTTTTTTTTTTTTTTTTTTTTGAGCTATCAGTTTTAAAAGAGCAGAACACAAGATGAACTGATCCCAACCACAGAAAGAGCACAAGTCCGTGTGATGCATGTTGCCAGAAAGCAGAAGGAAATTAGAGAAGTGAAGGAATGCTCTTTGGGTCCTCTTCTGTCTGCACGGTGCTTACCCATAATTGAGAGCGCAGGTCCGCAAACTCTAGCCAACAGCCAACATTTAAGCTGTGGCCTGTTTTTGAATGGACCTCGAGCTAAGAAGAGTTTCTACATCTGAAGAAGGAAGAGGACAGAAGGAGAAAAAGTTTGTCCACCCCTGTATCATAGAATATATAATTATATAATCAGCCTTTTTCCACTGTGAATATATGCCAAACTAAAACACAAGGAGGCCAGTGTATGAATATAAGCCTCCTGCATTTGAGAAGCATTACATGCAAACTATGTAAAGAAAAAACTTTAAATGCATCCCAACAAAGGAAAAAATTATATATATGTATATATCAAGAGGG